GCCATGTCGCCAACGCCCCCCCCCCCGATACTGGCGTCTCAGTGGACCTAAGCGCCTTCATCCCACTCACAGGACTGCAAATAACGCCCCTAACTGACGGCCTGTTATCCTGGCCTACAGGACTCCGACCGCTCACCCCAACGGACAACACCGCAGCGCGGAGCGCGATCGGTGGCCCCTGGGCAGACGTGACAGGCCCGTGACCCCCTACAGCAATGCCCGCCCACCAGACGACCACCGGAGCTGACGCGCCGGCGGGCCCCCAGCCGGCCCCGGTACATACCAGCAACAACACGGGCCCACGGAGCCGGAGACCCACCGGCTTGCCCTGTGCCGACCGGCGACGGCCGGCGCCGCGGCCCCGCCCTCATGGGGAGGCGCGGCACACACCCCCGCCTACCCGGCGCTTGGAGGCGCGCCCAACTGGCCGGCGGCCGGAGGCGCGTCCAACTGGCCGGCGCCCGGGGGCGCGCCCAACTGGCCGGCGCCCGGGAATGAACAGTTCGCCGGCGTCGGCCCCACACCCACGCAGTGGCGGATCCAGGGGGGGGGGCAAAATGGGCATTTGCCCCCCCCCAAACGGCATGATTTTAACATTACGCCTATGGACGATGCATGGAAAGAATCGATAAATTTCTATGGTTTGCCCACCCCCAAAAAAAACTCTGAGCTGGATCCGCCTCTGCACCCACGGCCCAGGCCTACAACCGCCCGACCCCCGCGACCCAGCCGAGCGGCGCAGCCAGCACCGGGCACGGGCTGCCCCCACAAATGATCCAGCCCTATGACGAGTACCGACGCTCAGCCGGCGAGACTAGTGAGAGCGTAGCCGCGGCAGAACTAAAGGCACGCGAGCGAGGGGTGGCGGCGGACCGCGCACAAGACCACCAGCAGCTACCGGTAGTGTCCTATGCGCAGCCGCCGGTACCCGCCCTCCAGCTAGCCGGGGTCAGCACCAAGGCCGCCCAGGACCTCCGCCACCGAGGCCGCTACGTCGCGGTCGACGACTCGGGGGATGAAGTAGGGGGCCCGCTGACGACCACCGCCCACTATTTGGCCCGGGTAGCCGAACTGCTGGCTCACAGAGCCTACCATTTCCCGGCGGCGGGGCTCCAGCTGACAAGTTACATGGCGTGGCTGCTGCGTACTTACGCCAACCGGCCCCTCGCCGAAACTCGGGCCGCCGACGCCAAAGCACGAGAGGCCATGGCGGCAAATCCGGGTATTCTGCACACAGCTCTCGACTGGGACGTGCTGTGCCGGCCTGGCATAACACCAATTAGCCACAGTGTGGAGACCAGGAAGCCGCAGCGGGTAATCATCTGCCAGACTTCCTGGCCGGTCGCTACTTTCATGCCAATTCATTAACTTTTTTGAAGGTGGGAGGGTCCCCCTTTAACATCGCGTCTTACGAGTGCAGGACCGCTCGTGAACTGAACATCACAGCCGCTCGGTATGGCCCATACAAAGCCATCGCAATTTGACGTGGCTCTGCCGGCACGGGGCCGCTGACCGGTGCTCGCGCTGACGTCACACCGCGTCACCAACTTCACTGGCAAGCCCACTCATGCCTTAGTTCTGACGTTGTCACACCACCGCCAATTGACCCGTTCCAACGCACACCCCCGCCGGCCGGGAGCACGCTGACGTTCCATCGTGGCTGCCGACCCAGGTGTAAATGCATCCCGCTGGCAGGTAATTGCGTTAAAGACCCACTCCGCGTGTGTCCATTGTAAGACGACACCCACCCGCGCTCTCCGGCTCCGACAGCGGACAGCGCAGTTCCCCTCCCCTCCCCCACTGCCGACCTCACGTTATCGGGACCAACAGCAAACCCGCGCACCCCACCCGCGCACCACCAGCTGATAGTGCTCATGGCACGGGGAGACGAGCCAGAGGGCTGTTCACGGGCCCTGTGTGCGGCTGGACCGCACACAGCCTCCAAGCTCCGCCCACTGCGTCCCTACGTCAGCCTTCCGTCACCGCACACAGCGACCGCTGTGGCCGGTCGGGACCGGCCACAGGAATCCGTCCACCGCACGCAGCCGTGACATCAGAGCCGCCTACCCATCCCCTACCCCCACGCCTGCTGGACGCACCGCACACACCGCACGCAGCAGTGTGCGGTGCCCGTGAACACCCCTCCGGCTCTGGCAGCCGCAATTGGCCGGGAGAATGGCGAAAGGGGCCCTGACATGATGTCGGTTCAGGTCGACCCGGGATCTGACGTAACCACACCGCTGACCGGTGCTCGCGCTGATGTCACATTGCGTCTGGCGAGCGCAGGGACGGCTCGTGATTTGATATCATACCACAGCCGCTCGGTATGACCCTGATATGGCGCCGACGCCAACTGATTCGGACTCTGACATTACAATACCGCCGACCGGTGCTCCCACTGACGTTATATTGCGTCTAACGACCACAGAATGATCTGTAACCCGATTCATAGCACAGACGCTCGGTATGGCCCCTGATTGGTATGATGACCGTATGTATGGCTTGGTATGACGAGCCAGCGCAGTTTATAATCGGATGCTGACGCCACACCACCGCCAATCTACCGTTTGACCGCACACCGAGCTCAGCTGGCTCGGCTCGGGCACCGGACGGCGTAGTCTCCCTCCCCATTACTGCCCCCATATTGTCGGGGCCAACAGCAAACACGCGCTCTCCGGCCCAGCCGCAGTCTGCCGGAGGAGACAGCACAGTGCTGACCGCCCGAGACGCCACCCTCCCCACCAGTGGACCGTTGTTTGTGCTACGGGGCGCCCGCCCTCACCCGGCTGTGTTTGAATAGCACACTGCGGGCAACTATCGGCTGAGGTTCGACAACCACAGCCTCCGCGACGGGCCCAGTATGAGCCGCGACGCCCTTACCTCCCCTGTGCGCGCCCCCGCCCTCCACTGGGCGCTGACAAACTCCAACCAAGTGACAGAGGTGAGTCGACGCCCATTCTCCTAGTGTGTGATCAGTGCTGTTTGCCAACCAACCCTGCCTCCTGCCTGGCGTCTCGTGGCCGCGGCCTGGCCTGCCTGAGCAGGCCACTTTACGCCGCGTCCCTCCTGGAGCACCGATCACTATAATAACATTCTGTCCTGTCGGGTGTGATTGGCGTAAGGAATGGAGGAATGGACATAACGTGAGAGGGACGGCCGGCCGATCATCAGCCAATGTAACGTTCGAGCAGAGTCTGTGCGGCGCTATAGTTAACGGAAGATAACGTTGTTATATGTTCGTTAACGGGCTAGCGCCGGACAGCGGCGAGACGGTCCTCCGAATAGCCGCGCCGCCGCCCGGGGCGGCCCCGCCGGCGGCGCGGCCCTCTCGGACGGGACGGGAGGGGACGGGAGACGCTTCCCCAGTGCGTGGGCGCTCGGCGCGCGCGGCGGAGGCGCGCTCCCGCGCGCCGAAAGGAGCGTCCGTCGGGTTCGATTTTTTTTTCTTTCTTTTTCAGGTCGTCGACCGTCCCTCTCACATCGCGTAAGGAATGGAGGAATGGACATAACGTGAGAGGGACGGCCGGCCGATCATCAGCCAATGTAACGTTCGAGCAGAGTCTGTGCGGCGCTATAGTTAACGGAAGATAACGTTGTTATTGGAAGTTGTCGGCACACAACTTGTCAGCACATGACAGCCCCAGTCGCTATCATCACATGGGAGCTAATTTCATTTCATTCTGATTGTGGCCGATGTAATCTGCTAGTCAATAAAGTTCCGATCAGAACTACAACCGCTAGGTCAGGTGCTAGATACAGTCACTTTATGTTCCATGTTACGACCATAAAACGGCATTTCGCAATAACGATCAAGCTAAAGGACAACTAAAGTTTTAATGGTTGATATCAGTTTGGTGATATTGCGTGTCATTCGCGTCAGCTTACGTCGCATTCACATCGGTTCAGAGTTTAGGTCGCATCTATATCAATTTAAATCGCAGATAAAAATATTTGCTAAAATAAATATACCTATAGAATTTCATTACAAGTACTCCTCAAATTGCCCTCTTCTGTGACGCTTAGTACTTCGTCTCACAATATAGTGTGGCGCTGTGACATAGTTTTCCATTCAGGAAGGACTGTATCAGACTTGAACACTTTCATGCTCTGGCTGGAATACCTTGCCTTAATAAAGCTTCTTCTACTCACCCTAGGAAGTAAAGTTAACGCCTGTCTTTGGCATTTCCTGGTCCTGCTACCCTCTGACACCCCTTTCCAGAACTAAAGGTCAGCCAGCGTTCAGGAGTGTAACTGTGTTCTTTTGGCCACGTGTTCGCGAAGAAAGTGCAAGAAAAACAGTCATTTCTCGAAACTCTCTGCACTGCAGTTCCTAGGGTCACGAGCTCAAAACTTGGACTCTTGCGCTGGCGCTAACGCTGGTCGTTTGGGTGACAGTCTTCAACCTACGTAGCCCCACCTATACGTAGGCGTGACTAAGCGATCGGACTCTTAATGATCACTTGCAACGCACAAATAGTGCCCAGCAAAACAGCTGAACAGCTGACAACTGAACAAACAAGAACGGCAGGCAACCGAGCGCGAACATTTGAACTTGAATTCAACTTGGTATATAGGTAATGTCATAATTAGAGATTAGATACTTTCCACGAAGCTTGTCACAGTAAATAACTCCATAACCAGATTTAAGTTGGCCAGCAATCGATCCTCATTTATTTACACAGGTAAAATTAGTTCTATATGGTAATGCAAACGCTAAAAGGCCCGTAAACGTTTATTCACTATTATGAATAAGTTGGCCAAAGTTAGGCGCTTGCAATGTACCGTGTCATGAAGTTCTTTGCTGATGACATGTAATAGCATGTGTATGAATTAAGCACTGATGAACGCAATACCACCGCATACGGCTTACCAGTAATGCCATTTCAAGCTGGTCGAGGCGTCATAACCGTCCAAGTTGTCTGACATCTGTCCAAGTTCGCCTGTAGTTGACCGTCATACCTGCTGTAGCTGACATGTCTGACACCCTCCAACGATTTCAGGAACTCCACTTCGGCGGTGCGCTGGTGCTTCAAAACATCAGACGCCTGACAAGCGATCAGAAAGCGGTCGAAAGGCGGACAGGAGGCAGGCGAAAGGCGGACAGGAGGCGGGAGACAGGCGGACTGAAGGCGGGTGGACTGAGGGCAGTCCGAAGGAGACAACTGACGAAGAAGCGTTGGACTCGAGTCACCGGTCAAATGCGGCGGACTGGGTCGGTGGCAGTGATCAGGTGGCGACGAGCGAGCCCTCGCAGGTGCTAGGGGTGCGCCGCTCAGGACCCCAGGGACAGAGTGATGGAGGTTCAGGTAGAGGGATGGAGGCGCTGGCTTCTCAGATGGTTCGTCTTATACTGCTCCGTGGCCCTTTCAAACGGTAAGTGCACTCTTATTTGTGAAATTCATGACTGATGACCTAAAACTGTATGTACTTACATGAATTGCAGGTCATTCCATTGAGTCTACATAATGGTTTGCCAAATCAACGCCATTTTAAAGTAGTTCTTGGGTTTTGAATTGTTCCGACATCGATAAAAAACGCCCTTTTGCACGAGCATCAAAAAAGTGCAACTATATGGAAGAACGCAAGTACTTTTGATTTATTTTTCTGATATAATATCAAACGCCACAAAATACCTTGCATAGTATAAGTGCCAGAAGTTACACAATATACGAGCCTTACGACTCACACTTAACCTCCTGCTGCCGTTTCGTTTAACACACCAGAAGACCGAGCTGTTTAATCCCACGAAACCGCCACGGGTCTGCTGCGTCGGGTTTCGGCTCACTCAGTTCGCGATGACGTCTCATTAATCTCGATTCCGTGGCCGCTGTGCGTGCTAGTCCCGCCACAGCCGTGTCCGCCCCGCCGCTCTGATCCGACACGACGGATACCATGCCTCCAGATCTCCCCACGGCCCGACAGCCCACCTCACACGCCCCGACAGCCCAGCGCCCCGCAGCTCCGACATTCCGGCACCCAACTCTGTCCTAAACGGCAGAGTCGGGCTCACCAACCAGTCATGGTTGGGTGGTTGGTGGGAAAGGGAGGCGATCAGCAGGTGGATGGAAACTCACCCCAGCTCGATAGTATGTCCGCCTCTGCCCGCCTCTAGCTCATATACGCCTGTATTTGACACGCCTCCATCCGCCTACTCACGCCTTTGGCCCGCCTCTGCACCTGTCTGCCTTCCACTATCCACATTGGCGTGTCTCGAGATGCCCTGGTTCATCTATACCCGCCAGCACCCGCCTCCGCCCGCCTCTTACCACCAGTCTCTCCCCGCCCCAGGCCGCGTTAGCCGGTGTCCATCGCAGCCGATCCTATCGTCGCGCAGGAAAGGCTCCGAATGCGGGCGGATTTCCTGCCGATCTCCAGTAAATAGGCACTCAGTCGGCGCACCGCTGCACTGTCGGCAGCACGCCCCGCCGAGCCGCACCACCGCCCGACCTCCTTTGCATGTATAATTAATGGCCGTTTTCTTGTCTGGCCCTGTGTCCTTGTGTCACGCTCTGGCTCCATTTCAGAGATAGGCTGTGGGTAGCTTTATCCGGCTCGGTTTGGATAACGGGATGCTCCGCTGGGAAAACCACCATGTGGCTCGGTGTCGGGTGAAAGCCGTGGGCTGGATGGTGTTGGAGGGAACGTGCATTTGACACCGAAACGAGGAAAAATGGTCGGTAAAGACGGTGCGATTCGTAGCGTCAAGCCTTTGTTGTTTGTCTTGTTAGGACTGAATACCTGAACGGCCCACATGTGAGTTGTCTATCGGATGCGGCCAGTCCATGGTCCAAGGGTCTAAATCAATTTGCATGCTCAGCCGGGCGGGACTACGGGCCCGAGCCACTCTGACGTCATTCCATTGAGGAGGGACAAAAACCTGCCACTCCCTGTATTGATCAAACGACTGCGATGGGCATAGGCGCGATACACATCCTATATGCATCCTGACATGACAGAGCTGGTCCTAATGTGTGAGAATATCGCCACGCACCCACGCAGATAACGCCTATTTCGGGCACCCAAATGCGCAAAATACAATGACCTCGGAGTACATAATTAACACGGTGACTATCAGCCCGTATTTTTAGAGCGAGGGAGGCAGCAATAGCTTCTATTGCTCCGTCATTGATCGGAAAAGGAAAATGACTAACACGTTTTTGCCTCAAAGCATCTGATCATTAAGATACGATACTGCACACGCTTTTCAAGACATGAATGACTTTGGTAGCGTATGTTCAATGAACCTTACATTGCCGTTCTGCTGAGAGCTGACTTGCACAAAGTTGGGAGACGAATATTGGTTCTTGAATACACTCTTTGTAAATCGAAGCCGTGCTGCATAACATGTAGATGTATTTTCCACGACAACATGCGTTATCTACATCTGAGATGCTCCAAAAGTTTTTTATACATCATAACCTTGCAGCAAACGGAGAATGTAATGAAGCTGTGGCAAAGACGAGCGACAATAATAGAAAGAGAGAGAAAGAGAGAGAGAGAGAGAGAGAGAGAGAGAGAGGGAGAGAGAGAGAGAGAGAGAGAGAGAGAGAGAGAGAGAGAGAGAGAGAGAGAGAGAGAGAGAGAGAGAGAGAGAGAGAGAGAGAGAGAGAGAGAGAGAGAGAGAGAGAGAGAGAGAGAGAGAGAGAGAGAGAGAGAGAGAGAGAGAGAGAGAGAGAGAGAGAGAGAGAGAGAGAGAGAGAGAGAGAGAGAGAGAGAGAGAGAGAGAGAGAGAGAGAGAGAGAGAGAGAGAGAGAGAGAGAGAGAGAGAGAGAGAGAGAGAGAGAGAGAGAGCTCAGACTACCAACCTCCGATTAGGAAAGGTTTTCAGTTTCTGCCGTTAATCGAGTTGAGTTAAAGGCATCAGGATCAGTGGGAGCCTGGAAAACTATATCTTAAAATAAAAAAGTGGTGTACTACTTTCACACTCTCGGAAACCGGAGATGAATCAAATAAATATTTGGGTATTAAGCTTTGCACCACGCATGTGACCATATAAGGTCAATGGGACAAAGTGAACTGATATTCCCTTATGTCTACTTTTGATCAAAAAGTAGTAAGAGCTCGCGTTGAAGTGCTATTCAACTTTGGTAATTAAACGCAATAATCTGGTATAAGTTTATACCAACATGACTTAAGTGTAAACTCACTAGAAACGTTTACATTTGCGCAAAATGCACTGTGGCCGTTTTCACGACGGAATAGCAGGCATCTATTTAATCCCCATTTGATCCTTTGGTTCCACAGGAATTTTAGTAGTTCTTTTTAGTAGGTTCCCCAGCTTTCGAATGAATGGTGCGTTAGTTTGCTGTTTTTCTATTAAATATCACATCGATTTACTTTATCTAAGGATTTATCACTAATATCAACATAAAGCGTAAGCACAATTATAAAATTATGAAATTATTAAATACTAGTACAATAGTTAAAAAAAGATACTGAGTTGCCAGGCTACGAAAAATATATTCATTTATGGCGCACGACAGACATTTAGAAAGCAGCGCCCTGTTTTATTGCACGCTGCTAGCCGCTTCCATTGGGTTTTGCAGGCCGACGTCATTGGTCGTTACACGTATGCTGTCACGCGACTTGTGGCCTGTCACGGCTCTTTAATGATCTCCACTAAATGAATGCAACAATGGCCTTTTAAGTTGATCTCTGTGGCCATCTGTCTATGGAGCGACCAATATGAAAGTTGGGTGAATTTACCGGGGTTACATGACTATGAGCAAGCAAATGTGTATCAGGAATGGATTTAGGTGGAGAATTGCGCTGGACCATGAGTGCTCGAACGCTCCCAATTCCACGCCGGTTTGGCTTTGGAGCCGAGACAGACGATGCGGGTCAAGGTCACCGCTGGGGTAACGGTGGATTGGCTGCGCCCGAGCACCCGTAACGCGGCACAATTCTCCATCTATGGATTTTCCTATTCGCTCAGCATTGTGATAGGCGTTCGTAATAGCATTTACTCTGCTCATGTACCTATCCCCGGTTATTTAAAAGAAGTTTTTGTGGGGGAATATCACGGCTTTAGGTACGCATAGACCCGGGAACAGGGGGGGCAGCGGGGGCGCTTGCCCCCCCAACTTGGGAGCCGAGGGGGCGGCGCCCCCTCAACATTGAGGTAGCGAGAAAAGATCTTTGCCTCCCTTTTCCGGACTTCTTTCCTTCTTGTTTCTTTACACATCTAAACATCAACACACGGCATTTTCCTTGCCATCTGTATGGTTTCTGCTGATACAGTATCGATTTGACAACATCTGCTATTGTCATCCCGCTTTGATTTGGACCTGATTTTGGCCATAAGTTTGGCAGGCCAGATTTTATACTGGACCATTTTGAGTCAACTTTGAGAAATACATAACGCACAACGGTGGTAAAATCGTTGCTATAGGTAGGTATAACACAGTTAACCCTCTCCGGGTGTGAGGGAGGGGTGTGGGGCGATGAGTGCACTGACGTGGCGCCCTCGGAGGGCGTGTATGGGATGAAAGCTCAGCGACACTAAGGGCTTGTGTGGTGCCTTCGGTTATCGGTAGCACCCTCAGAGTCACCGGCGTAGGGCCCTCAGAGCCGCCGGTAAGGGGCCTTTGAGGCACCGGTGTGGGGCCGTCATGCAGGTGCCGGTGTAGGCGCTCAGAGGTGCTAGTGTGATTCTCTCAGAGGCGCCGATGAGGGTCCTTACAGGCGTAGCTGTGGGCCCTCATAGACGCTGGTGGAGCCGTTACAGACGGGTGAGGGGCCTTTAGAGCTGCTAACGCGAACTCTCTACAAGCCGGCAGGGGGTCTCAGTGACCGGCAAGGGGTCCTTAGGCCGGCAGAAAAAGTCCTGTGGGGTCCTTAGAGACCGGCATGGTACTGTCAGACGCCGGTGGGGCCCTCAGAGTTACTGGTGTGGGGCCCTCAAAAGTCACAGCCGCCGATATAGGGCTTTAATAGGCACTGGTGTGGGCACTCAGAGTTGGGGGTGTGAAACCCTCAGAGGCACCGGTGTGGGCCCTCATAGGCGCCGGAGGGCCCCACATTTGCCGTTATGGGGCCCTCAGAAAAATAAGTGTGGGACCATCACAGGCGGGAAACGCTCCTAGAACTAGCCCCTCATAGGCCGGTAAGAACTCTCAGAGGCCAATAACGGGCCTTTGGAGACCACCGAGGCGCCCTTAAAAGCCGCAAGAGGCCCTCAGGAGTCGGCGTGGGGACCTTATGGAGATCTTAGTGTGGCTATTTAGGACCCATGAGGTGCTCTAACGAGCCCCATGGGGCCCTTCTGAGTAGAAATATGGCCATCGTTAACCCTCAGCGGCCAAATGGCGCCGCAGGGCCTCTCGGACCCGAGGGTCCCTTTGAACCCAACGGGGGTGGGGGGGGGGGGGTAT